GAGGATGTCACAACCTGAAACGATAACACGTACCAAACAGTCCTATTTCCCTGTTCTATTTCCAGTTAATTTCTTAAGTCCTTTGCCTGTACCACTCTAAGATGCGAGTGAGTATACTTGTGTATACATGCATGCATGCATGCATACCTGTATTTGTGCGTGCATGTATCTGTATCTGTGTGTGTATGTCTGTGTGTGCGTTTGTCTATGTGTCTGTGTACTTTAAAGTGCAGTTCAGTAATGAGGAGTGCAGGGTGAGAATAATGGCGCTGTTGTCCGCTTTATTTCTCTATGATATGTCTATGCATCTGTTCGCGTGCGTGCATTTGGATGCACTTATCTTCCTCTTCTGTTATTTGTTTGTGCCATCGCTATCCATCTGTTCATATAACACTTCCTCTATTTGTTCTCTTCTCCCATTCTGTCAAATATTCTATCGCTCCCGGCAATATTTCATATGCATAAAGCATTCTTTTTTTTCGATTTGCTATTTTTACACGTTTCCACACGTTTTGCCATTTTTACACGTCCAGACATTTCACACCGCATAAATGACCTTATGACCTTATGTGAACCGGATTTGTGTGGACCTGATTATGTCTGGACATCCTGACATACTTCTTAAGAAAGGTTCCTTGTATTAGTTGTATTAGCCTGTTATTATCATTAGTGAAAGGCTAGCGATTTTTTGTCGTCTCTCTTTAGCAAACCCCGCGGTGTCATGGTTTTCTGAGTGCACTTGAAACGCTAGGAAACATCGACACTTTTGAATTACGCATACATATTATTATTTCGCTCTTTCAACTCTGCACTACAACAATCATTCGTTTGAATTGTTCCTTACTCAAAAACATAATCTATTTTTAGCAGAAAAAAATTCCTTAGTATAGTGCATTTGTCATCATATGATCTTTCATGGTTGATACTGCGTAATTACGTAATGCGCTAGTTTAAATGTTATAGTGCATAGTAACTATGTACAATTATATATTGGTTTTTGAAGTTGATCCTTATGTTAATTCGAGTCTTCTCTTACACTGGAATCAGTTTTGTATATGTAAGATATAATTTTAAGTCATTACTAAAAAGCGATGATTCGTTGTGCATCCAGTTTCTATCGTGTGGAAAATCTTTTGCGTCAAGTGATACGTTGCGCATCGTCGACACCACCAACAGGGTCACGTGTTAAAACATTCGAGATATATCGTTATGATCCGGAAAAGCCCGGATCAAAACCTCAGTTGCAGGTGGAGCTCATTTTTCTTTTTGTTATTAAAATTCAAGAACAATGAAAACTGATTTATCAACTCTGAAGTGACGGATGACAGCACCTTCCTTCCAGAATGACTAAAATGATAAGATTTCATAGGATACTATGTTTTTGCAGATGTCCTGGAATGATTAGTTAACGCATAACAATTTAATGACCAACATTTAATAGAATTCACGCATCCCTTATCCCGTCTTCATCTTCTTCTTCAAATGCAAGTCTAGTTTATCGTAAGACGAATGTGGGAAAAACTCTGCAAGACCTATAATAACTATTTGGCTAGGTGCGGTACTTTATATCTTTCGTTTTCTTCATACTTGATGTATGTCGTAGTTGTGATACTAATTGTCTCCCAACTTGAGGTTGCAACTGAACAATTTTTTAAAAAAAGGGAAAAAAGAACTAATTAGCCGTCATAAATAAACAGTGACAATTATCCGCAGTACACAAAAAATTTACAACAGGCAGATGCACATATGAACTAAATTCTTGAGTTAATTTAAAATCGGAATTTTATGGTCGCTTACGATTATCAGAATTTGATATGTGTCTCTTTAATTGCGTAATAGTGAATGGCTTCATATACACATCATGCGTTGTATGTTTCGCTCACACTATGGTGAATTTTATTCCAGAAATATGACATCGATTTGGATGATTGTGGTGCGATGATTCTGGATGCACTGATCAAAATCAAAAATGAAATAGATCCTACTCTTACTTTCCGCCGTTCATGCCGTGAAGGTATTTTGCATTTGGTTCTTTGAAGAACAAAGCTAGCTGCATAAAATACCTCAAAGTGAAAAGGAACAATGAAGCCCAGTGCATTTCATAATTGCTGAATAAATCATGAATTTTCTCACAGTGCGGTATCGACTACTGTTTAGTTTTTGAGGAATAATATAGTTTTTTTTATTCTATATTAGATTTCATATTTCACTGTTCACCTATGTATTTCTTAGAGCTGTTTCTTGTCACTTAGAGTAGGGATCTGAAAATTTTTTCCTTTGACCACAGCAACGGTTAGGCACTTAAGGTAGGCGAAACTATTACCGGGGAAAAGTGGAGTTTAGATGAAGCTGCAAATATTTTTAGGCATTTGTGGCTCATGTGCTATGAATATCGATGGTGAAAACACCTTGGCGTGCACTTGTAAAATTAACGAAAATACGAGCAAGAGCAGTAAAATCTATCCACTACCACATATGTTTGTCATTAAGGTAAGTTTTAGGCATAGCTTAAAACCATTTTTGACAGCTTTTCCGTAACTGTAATGGCCGATTAATAATGACTCTTTAATTGGAGCGAGAAATATTTATAGGAATTTGTGATGTATTGTGTCGGATCCGATCCCGATACTGTTTACCATAGTCTGACTGATGAGACTGACTGGTTTTTTTCGGTTGGTCTTACCAGACCACAAGACAGCGCTCCCTCTTCATCGTCACACCTCTGGTCCCATGTGCTTCGTCGTGTTTTGGTGTTCCCATTTTTACAAAATGTTGTAGTCGGATTCTTTGGGAAGCTGTTTTCGAGGATTAAAATTTGCGTTTTCTGTGTATACGATCTATGTAGATTTTCGATCGTTTATCTCATTGGTTATGATAGGAAATGGCATGTTTTTCCGCGTAAGCTATTGAAGTATTGAAGTACAAAAGCTTCAAGTGGAGTTCAGTTTTAGGTTTGTCTCTGAATAATCAATGATTGTTCTTTGTTAGTTTGCAGGATTTGGTGCCGGACATGAGCTTGTTTTACGCACAGTACGCATCGATTGAACCATGGCTAAAGAAGAAAAACAAGTTAGTGCTTGGTGAGAAGCAAATGTATCAAACAGAAAAAGAGCGTGAGAAACTGGTTAGTAGATCAAAATTTAGTGGGTGGTTTAAAGTTTTGGTTATTTACGCATTACTAAAATTTTTTCTCGACTTCGGCAATACAACTGAAAGTATTGGTGTTGTCCTTTTTTTTCTTCCTTTCTTTTTTTTTTATAATACCAATCAATATATTTAGGACGGATTATATGAATGCATTCTTTGTGCCTGCTGCAGCACGAGTTGTCCGTCGTACTGGTGGAATGCAGACCAGTATCTGGGACCAGCCATTCTTTTGCAATCTTATAGGTCTACTTTTCCTACAGGATTCGCTTCCAGTAATGCTAAGTGATTTCTGTATGAGTTTTTAAACCCGATCATCGTAACTGCATTCTTTTTGAAAGCCTTAATAATTTCAAAAAGGCATTCAAACATAATCGCATGTTGCTAGCTTAGGAGCGAAAAACTGCTAAGAACTTGATCGACAGTTCAACAATTAAAGGTGGTCATAAGAACACTTCCAAGTGTTTTTTAAGGGATGCGCATTAGTATAGATGTTCTGAAATATGGTTGTCTGCAGGGCTGGAAATTCTTGTTTAATTTTTGAAATTCTGAGGCTTATTAATATTTGGAAACTAGAACTATTTCGGTAATTAAATGATTCGGTGAATTGTAATTTATTGTAATGTCATTTTGGCATCCTTGGCTATCCTGTATTTTGTTAAAAATATGGGCTAACCATTAGTAAATAAGAGGGAAGTCTTTGATCTCCAACTGAATCTCACTTTGTGATTAGTTGAGAAATACAGTGTTTTTCTTTCCTTTCTCTATAATACTTAATAATTTTCCAGATGGATAGTTGATTCACGAGACGATTATGCTGAGGAACGATTGTCGAAAATACACGATCATTTCAGTGCTTTCAAATGTCACACTATCTTAAACTGTACAAAAACTTGTCCAAAGGTAAATATTTCTTGTTAAATTTTAGTCAGTTTTTATTTCTATTTTCAGTTTTAGTGATGGGTTTACTAACTATACACTTCTGAACTTCCATCAGCTATCTGCTATTATTCCGGTGAAGGTTAATTAGACATGTTACAAGATTATATTCTCTACACCATAGTGTTTTTATGTTCGATTTAAAAATGTTTTATATTTTTTAATTCTTACAGTGTCAAATAGACCATACAGAAGAGTGAACTGTACAGGATGAAATAAATCAATTGTCCAGGCAAATTTTATTTGTGATATTTCAGCATTTGAATCCAGCAAAAGCAATTGGAGAAATTAAGAAACTCCTTACTGGTTTCGATAAAAAGCCGGCACCCGTTGCTGCGCCAGCCAATTTCTAAATTAAATTCCGATTTTATGGAAGTGCGCAAAAACTGTACATTTTTCTTTTAATTTATTAAATGATGTTGTGTATTTAGTTTTCAGGATTTTTTTTTTGCATTTAGATTTCTGTAATTAGTCTCTTTCATCATTCCCATGGTTACTGCTCCGGCAGATTGAATAGATATTTTCGAAATTAAATCTATTCGTTTTCTTTGTTCAGTGAATTTCAGCATCAAAAAAGTTAGTACCAGTAATGTGGTAACTTGTTCCTGATCTTTATTCATATATAGACAAAACGGATTTAATTGATTTTATAGATCTTCTGCACCGTGTCACCGTTCTTCAACTATTTAGCTTGTGCATTAATTTTTAATATAAAATTTTCTGAAACAGTTCAGTTGTCTGATGAAATAGGAATGATGGTGTCCCCATTTAGTGAGTATTACACTGTGTGCAGGACTTCATATTGGACTGTTTGGCTGAATACTATGAGTGATGGTGCAGCATTTATAACCGTTTGTTTCCGAATACTTTGTGATGTTACGGGTTGTTTCGAAGCTGGGTGATGTGCGAAATTAATAAAAGGTAAAGTTGTTGAGCCTACCCTCCTATGATAGTCTTGGTCTAGTTTGTTTTCCCATCTAAAGTCATTTCCATTCTTGAATTTTAAATTCTTACTGTTCAGAGTTCGTATATTGCATGCATGATTCCCCTAATAAAATTATCTGTTCCTAACATTTCTGGTAATGTTTTAAAATGAAACAATATGAATTTACAGCAAGTCCTAAATTTGACTATGTATTTGGAAATCTCGATGCTCGGTCATATTTGTATTTAATCTTTTCAATGTCAAAATCCCTTAAAATTTACATGGTTTTAATGATTGGTGTTCCTTATAGTATAGTAAAGAAATGGATTTTACTTGGTGAATATAAAGTGAAAATATTTGACATCACGATCGTTTGTTATTTCCTTTTTAATTTTTATTTATTGCAACATTTCATCTTCATTCCTGTATCAAAACAGGAATGACGATGAAATGAATTTGCAATATGAAAATCTGGAAACAAATGAAAGTTATTTGAATCTTAAATCGAATTACTTGCCATATCATGAGCAAAATGTATATTATGATCCAACGAAGATTGTACAGGAAATATTTAAAAGTTAATTCCCTGTACAAGTTTATTTTCGATGTCGTATAGCACCAAAGAAGTAAGAATACGGTTTTTTCATTCTCAGACATGCATAATATCATTAAATATTGCAGAAATATCATTTTTGCTTAAATCTTTACAACTTATTGTAACTTTAATTCATTCTGCTTCCTTGGATCTACTGAACTTTTACTTTTCTTTATTTTTTTTTATTTTAATTTCAACATTTTTAGTTGCTTCCTTTTCATTCAGAGTAAAAAAAATCGTTCATTTTCATTAAAAAAAAAAGGGAAGAAATTAAAAGATGAGGATTGAAATGTAAACCTTATCAAATAAATCTGATTTGACAAAATCTCTTGAATTCCTTAAAAATTCAACAAAAAGATTCGATTATGCCAATCTTTTTTTTTTGATCGAGAAAAATCAGAGTTCTCTACTTTCTATTTTTTTTTTCATCTTTCCAGGATTTTTTAATTTTCATTTTTTCTAATTCCGGTTTAGTATTTCAGCATTTCTTTCTACTTCTAGTGGAAGAAATTTCCAAAAAAAAAGGGGGGGAAAAAAGTTGAGAAAGGGAAGAAGAAATCACGAGTGGATTTTTAATATTGAAAGGTCAAATTGCTTGTTTTGCTTTTTCTTTCGTATTTTTATCATTTCAATTTCAAAGTCGTTTAAAGAAAAAATTAGAAAAATGATTATCTGTCGATTTACTATCGCTGTTCGGTCTAGATCAATCATTTTCTTCATCATTACATTTTTATTTGGTAATTTCATGACTGATTAAAGGTAACTTCCTTTTTTGTTTTATTTCTTAACAAAATTTTTCAATATTAACAATTTTAAAAGCGAAAATTTAATGTCCAGGTGATAATCAAATTTAACTTGTCATGCATTATTATTCCATTTCTCATCATTAATATTCATTTGTCCACTTTAATGTCTTATCTGTTAATATTAATGAGCCAGTGATAATGAAGTATGTAATTGAAGTTAAAGGAAAAGAAATTTTAGAAGATGAAACTTTCTTTTCTTTTATTGATGCTATAAACACTATTAGCTGGGATTACATATTTTATCATTTATTATTGCATATCAAAAAAAAAAGGAAAGGAAAAAATTTTGTGGAAAATTTTTAACAACAAAGTTTTAGTTTTTAAAAATTTCAATACGAAAAAAAAAACCAAGACTACTTTATTAGCTTTACAAACAAATTATTGATTTCGTTCATTTTCTCGCATGACATTATCAAACAAATAAAATTACTCCATAACATATTAAGCAAAAATGACTGATTACTTTTTTCGTCATATCAAAAAAAATTGACAATCTTAGAATTGGGACAGGTAAGTTTTCTGAAGCTTTTTTTAAGAAATTAATTCAATTAATTTCTAATTAAATTCACATTAAATGATTCTTTTCGATTTTTTCAACTTTTGATAATCAATATTATTTGTTGGCATTAACAAATCCACCAAGCATAATTAAAAATAATCGATTAATGAGTAGTGATATGAGTTAATTGTTGCAAATGCAATATTGCAAAAGTAACTTAATTTTGACGAAAAAGAAAAAGAAAAGAAAAGGCGAGGCGACAATGCTTTGACATTATTTCACGATTTTTGATAGAAATTGCAACATTTTGTCACAATATAAATTGTGTATTTCTTTTTTCTTTTTGTAAAATAAAACGAAATTTTATATTAATTATTAATAAATTGCAAATTAATTAAACACATTAATAAAAGTGTAACATTAATAAAATACGCTTTACATTACAAAATATAGTAAGGAATCAATTTTATTTTTTTTAAACAATCATTTATCTTGGCATACTGTATATGTATATATTCCATTTATTAGTGATAAGCAAAAATTGCATATATTTTGATAACAGTTAGATTAAATAATAGTCAGTAAATTTTAAATGATTTATTATCAGTAAGTTTTGAATAATTTGTTATCAGCAAATTTGAAACATTTCCAGTTTGTTTCCTTTACTCTTTTCATTTTTTTTTTTCTTTTTACTTCCAATTATCACCTCTTGCTGAATAATTTTCCAGATTTTACTAATTTTTATCATTTTTTAGAAAAAGAAAGAAAAAAGAAATGGAATTATGACTGAACGATTTGACATAATTTAAATTAAACATTTGTAAATAGTTCGGTTAGTTTAATTTGATAAAAATAAACCAAGAAGATAATATCATTCTTGTTTATCATTTAACTTGATTACTATTATCGAAATGTATGCTAATAAATGTTATACAGTATGCTAAGATAATTATTGCACAATTACTATACGACATTATCAGTGTAGGTTAGTGTTTGATAAATAAATGATAAGGGCTGTAAAAATTTCATTTAACTTTTCAATATATTATTGTTGTTTATGCTCCAAAATGCTTAAAAAGGCTTATTTTCATATACATAATAATAACAAATTTTCTATTTTTCAACAGATTAGCCATATTTTTACTACTATTAGCTCTTTAGCTTACTTGTAATATTACTAGTTTCTTCGTCCACTGTTATCATTTATCATTTGTCATTTTTGAAGAACATAAAAGTATTTTGTAATCACGAAATAAGCCATATGTAAAATTTCATTCCTGTAAATTATACTTAATGTTATATCATTATATCATTGTAAATATTTTACTTATCATTAACTCTTGCAAATTCTTATTAAATTTTGAAGGGAAATAAAAAGAAAGAAAAAACAAACACTCTATTTTAAATGATAGTGTTTTTTTTTCTTTTTGAAAATGATATGATCTAATCAATAAAATGTAAAAGATGTTATTTGTCATGAAAGAAAATTTTTCCCACCAAAAACACCGGAAATATTTGGTTATTGCTTTTATTTACCAAATAAAATAAATAATTTAAGTTTATCCCTTTATCGTTTCAGCAATTTAAACTCTTAACTCTTACCTTTAGCGCTTCAATAATTTGACTTCTTCCCTTTACCGCCTCAATAATTTGTTCATTTCTTTTATCGTTTCAATAGTCGTTAAAATCAAATTCAATATCAAATTACTTCTTTCCCTTTTAACGCTTAAATCATTTTAATTTTTCTAACTTAATTATTAAAAAAGTATTTTTGTAACATTGAGATTTTTGTTCAAAAATTTTTCCCTTTTAGTAAAATATTTAAAAGTAAATTTCTCAACCCATTACATTCAATGGACAAATATACGTATTTTTATGATACAACAAAATATATATATATATATGCTTGTTATTTGAAAAAAATAAAAAATAAAAAATAAGAAATAAAAATTGAAAATTGGTGACAAAGGACCATTTCTCTCTTTTTTTTTACCTTTTTTTTTTTTATCTTTAGGCGTCAGAAAGACGCCAAATGATTTATCCTTATGTTGAATGCATTTCCAATGCAAAAAAAAAAAAAAAATTAAAGTNTACTTAC